CGCGCTAAAGCTCCTTTTTACCTGGTTGGGCACTTGAGCCAAAATGGTATATGGCATGTACCTGTATAGCAACTATACTGGGACCTCATCCCTATTGACATAGACTATTTATGTGTAGTTTGTTTGGAGTAAACATGAGTAAACATGCGTGCAATCTCCTCTGTGACACACAACGTTAAACACTGTCCGAGAGGACACGAGCATGTGCATGCTTTTTGGAAGGCACAGCCTAGAGCGGCCTTCATTGGTTCCTATTTGGAACCAGGTGAGACCTGAATTTGCGGAAGCCTCTGTCTGGTCCAATCTGGATCTGGTTGAAGCTCCATCGAAACTAGCCCGCCAGCACCTCTTCCGCGACCTAGGTTGTGTAGCCTTCTACTCCTCCTCTCTGAGTTTTCTCTTCATGGCTTGAAGATGAGCCTGGAAAAAAGCTTCTTAGAAGCGCAAACCGTGCAGACCACAGTAAAAAGTGGTGCATAAGGTGCCTGGCATCACCAAAAACGGGCCTGTCCTTAGTCTTCAACTGACGCTTGCCCGACTCGGAGATGCTGGTCTCGAAGTGTCGCATGATGCGCATCATCTCTTGCACCTCAGGGGAGCCCCATCCGTGCCGCGGTAGGTACGGCAGCCCAACACGGCGTTGGGCGGTTTTGGGGGGGTTGGGGGTTCCTGGTCCTGAGATGTCTTGAGAAAGCGAACGAGTGAATCTGACATCACAGATTGGGTTCTACAGAAGTTGTAGGTCTCATGCAATGCTCTCTTGGCTTGAAGATCTCATCTCCAACTCTTCAGCTAACCTGGGAAGCGAGGAAGCGATGCCAGCACGGGCGTCTTTTTTCAGTTCTGTTCGTGGATTCTTTCGTGCTGAACTGCTTTTGGCATTGCTTCCAGCCTGACCCTTACTTCTTCCAGGCTCTTGTGGACTTCAGGCTCCTGATGAAAAAGCGCAGAGGACATCTCTTCAAACTTGTTCCTGGAATGCCAAACAATAGTTTTTGAGGGTTCTGTTCAGGTTGTTCTCTGTGACTCAGTTGATGTGTCCTTCTGTTTAACCTTTGCCTCCAACCTGGCCAGGGTGGTGTCAAACTTTTTGTGGTGTTCACATCTTTTGACACATCTTTTGACACATCCACATCTCCACTTCCGGTTCCACGAAGTGGAAGAGCAAAACGAATGGCCCAAACGTTAGCCGCTCAGCGCGTCACTCGCTGAAACGTTCTTCGGCCCGTTGCCGCATCTCGTGGCCCCGTTCCCGTCGGACCTGGGACGACGAGAAAGGCTCGACCCGTTCCAGCGTGGCCAAACAAATGGCCAAACAAATCAAAGAACGAGTCTTCACATGGCTCTTGCTTTTTTGAATTGATCCAACGGTTCTTGCAGACTAGACTACACAAAAACCCAACGTCCAGATCGGAAGCCTTACCTCTTTCTCCTCGGCCACTCTCTTCCTGCCAGGTCAAATCAACTTCCTGCCAGGTTTCACCCCGGCAGCCGCCCGGCCTGAGGTAGTGGAAGCGCGTCTGCATGTCATTCATGAATCGATCATTCTCTTCGGTCCGCTCCACAATCTGAGCGAGGTCAGCTACACGGAGCCAAGCCACGGTGACTGAAAGATCTTGGATCCAAAAAGGAGGACCATGAGTCGGACCGTCTTCCAGTACAAAAGCTCTTGGACTGAACCCACCAATTCTCGCATGCGAAGGCTTCTAGCGCTTCTAGCTCTCCCATCAAGAATTCAGAGTTGAATGGGAACTCAATCATGTAAATCCAACCTTCTTTTTGCAGTCTAGTTTATTGGACCACAGCTCACCAATTCAAGATGAATAGAAATGAATAGAGGTGGTTTGCAGCATCCGGCGACCCCGGACCCCTCTGAATTGCTCCACCAGTCGGACCCCTCCGTGGGCCGAGCCTGCGCCTCAAGGAATTCATTGTGCCTCAAGAGAACTGTCAACACGAACTGTCGACTCACGGTTTCCTCTATGCAGAACTTCAGAACTAGGAGACCACTACGGCGGGAATTGTCGGTTTTGGGACTTGTTTCCTCTAATTTTGTTGAGCCTCGGTTCATGTGGTCTCCTTCCGTTTGATGCTCATGCTCAAATCCCCTCATAGGGCACCCTTTTGCCCTGCACCGCCATTGAGTGGCGACCGTGCTACGTGGAACAAGTTGCGCCGCTGGTTTGCGTGTTGACGGCTTTCTTTGGACAAGGTTCCGAAGGCTTGTGAAGGTACAACAGTACAGGTTGGATACAAGGTATATCGAGGTCCACTTCCTTTAGCTTGTACACTCTCCTTCTGTTGCGCGTTCTTAGGAAGCTGAACCACTACCAACAGAAGTCTTCTTTAGTCCAACGGCGACGCCGGCGAAGCGGCTGCGCGATCAAGTCTCTGGCTGCTTGAGGGCAGCAAGCAGAGGCTCAGTCTCGGCAGCAGCATGAGCCAAGCAGTCCTCGCCCGTCAAATCAGTCGAAAACGGGTGAAAAGACGGCTTTTCGTCGAAACAACCAGTGGGGTTGGTCAGACCTGTGAAGTGGCTGTCCTCATGTTCCTCTAGGATGGCCGCATCCAAGGAAGCAATAGTAGTATCACCTGGTATGTGAATACTAAGAGATGCATACAGAAATCAACACAAGGTTCGAAACATCTTGAACAGATCTGGGAATCAGGCTCATTCTTGTAGAGCGCGTTATGATGTCTCTTGAATCATCAGCCTTGGATACAACTCCCTCATCACTCCGATGCTCTCGTTCTCATGATTGCCATGGTTCCACGGCTGAGGTGCCCACAAACTTCTGCCTCCAAGCTTTCTTTTTTTCGGCCACTGTGTCAACAAACTCTTTGCAAAAGTCCTCCAAATCACAACAGGAAACTATCTAGGCAAACACATGTACACGCAAAGCAAAGATGGCTGCATCTCTTATTCACTTTCAAAAGCAAATCAGTCCCTCTACACTTATCAGTTTCAAACAGTTTGCCGCTCCCAGGAAAATGCGGCCAAGGCCAAACAACAACTGGACACCAAGGATTTAGGTGACTCAAAACTTAGATTTAGCTCTGTCAGGGTTGCTGGCTCTAGGTTGAGGCGAAGCACGCTCTGTTGGGTTTGCTCCCCTCATGCATTCGACTCCATCTCTGCAATCTCTGTGTCAGGAACCTTCGCTTCCATCACCAGAAATGCATTCTTTCTTCTTCGGAATCGCAAGGGCCTGGTTATAAGAACACCAAGCACCGCTGCCACCCCCGAGGATGCCCAACAAATGGCCGCTACCGGGCCATAGGCCACCGAGAAGTTGCTCCCAAGACTCACAAAGGCAGCAAAGAGGAAGCACACGGCCATGACAGCCCCCGTTTGCAGCACATCCCAGCATCGACCGGGCCAGCGAGGCTGCGCAAACTGGTCACAAAGGTAGATCCACAGGACCATGAACAAAGGGAGCCACAAAAGGTTGTTGCCCAGCATCATGCCCACTGCCCATGCCACCAAGGATTCCACCGGTGCGCGTCCCATCCAAAGCGCCAAGAAGGTCTCAAAGCTGATGCTGAAGGTGGGAGTGAGCAAGAAAAGGAGGTAGGGCAGCGGCAGCTGGGTATGCAAAATCGGTTCCAGCATCTTTCTCTTCAACGGCCCACGCACATAAGAGGTGAAGGCCTCACTACTGCCATACCAATCAGTGATCGCCGAATGGATGAACTCTCGATCTGCTTCGCTGTAACACTTCACTTCGTCCAAATCAAATTTCTTCAGATCTTCGAGGAGTCTTTGTTTGGATAAGTAGCTCTTCCGCAAACCATGCGTCGCCGGGCCTGACAACGTGTGCACTCCATGGGATTTATCAACCAAATCAAGCTCGAAATGCTAAGTGCAAGGAACATCTCGATGCTGTGGGGCCTGACATCACGTAAGAACTCATGCCTGATGATTCTTATGGCCCCGAAAATAGGGAAGGCTTCAAAGCTTCTGTGCCTTCCGTTCTCAGGGATTGAAACAACGTGGGGCGCCTGTGCAACATAACTGGGTATAGGAGCTGCGAGTCTTTAAGACCATAGGTTCCCTATGATGGTCGTTGGATTGAGTCAGGCAAGCCGTCAATTTTGCCCAAATTGTGTCTTCCTATATGCCTTCCTCAAAAGAGTTTGTCTTCGGATGCGCGTGAATGATCCTTTCATTAAAGGACTGGATCTTGTAAAGAAACCATGTGCCATGCTATCCGTCCGTGAAATGAGGGCAAAGTTCCACTGCCACTTCCGGCATTGCATTCCTTCTGCTGTCTTAAAGTGTAGGTCTTTCTTTCATGAGTCCAACACTGCAAAGCTTCGTTTATGGCGTTCGGGTCTGGGGGTAGAGTCGTGCGCAACCGTTGACGTGGCGTGGCAGATTCCCTGCGGGGAACAGAATTGGAAGAGGCTTTGCTTGGAAGAGGTGTCCGATTTTGTGTGAGAAACATTGAGAAACCATGAAAATGTGACGCTTGACTGTGTGTGTGTGGTATAATTACGGTAGACAGTAGAAGTATGTATGATTGTTTTAAGCATGAACATGTGACGTATGATAAGATATAAAAGACTGTCAAAGTGTGCTTCACTCTTCAGCTTTACGTGCAGCAGTTTCTACTTCAGGCGAGACCCACGGCCGGGTATGGACCTATCGACCTCGACGACAGCGAAGCGGACAAACATGAAGTGGAGACTAAGTGCTAGTGGGTTCAATCAGGCTTTTCAATAATAACAATATATACTAGTAAGAACAATAATATGCAACAATAATAGCAATAGTAACCATAACAACAATAACAATATCTAACAATTACAATATATATATATATATACTGTATAGAGATATTATGTATAAACAGGCACCACTCGAGGAAGTGCTTGTAAGACCAGTCACCCCAAAGAGAAAAAAAAACATGCCATCAGTGCAAAATATGGGACATGTGATGAGACTGCATGTTGCTCTCCTCTCTCTCTCTCTCTCTCTCTCTGGAACTCCTGATCCGTCCAGATTAATCACACTGAAAATACAGTGTGCTTTGGGCTCGTTTGTGTTTCTTTTTTACCCCAGTTGGTGGCCAAACAAAACGCTTCGGATGGACCTTGCCTATGACCACCAAAACGATGAAGTAGGCCAGAATGCTCGCGCCACCCCGTCCAGAGCGTGCAAACCAAAAAAGCACATTGGACACACAAAGGAAGCCCCACAAACACCACACCTGGTTGCCGATTGGTTCGCCATACCCCCCAAAAAAATCGGTAAAGTAGCAATAATTAGGATACAGTCAGATACGGTAACCATTTAGAATTAAGATTGGGGACAGATTCGAAGGCATGTCAACAAGTCTTTGGTACCATCCAGACACCGAAGTCTCCACGAAGAGAGGTGCGAGGACAATCTGTCCGCTGCTGTTGGCCTTTGAGAACGCTGCTAACTCGAAGACGCACCAAAGTCGAGACCTCAGCTTGAAGAAACATGAGGTGTTTGGCTTGTGAGTGTGTATAATTGTGTGTATATATATATACACACACGGTATGTGTGTGTTATTTTGATGTCTTTGTTTCACTGCCAGTGCGTGAGCGTCTCTGCGCTGTGGTTTTCTGCACCGGGATTTGTTGTGCTCTGCTACCAGGCACTCCATCCCATTCATCAGCCAAATGCGTGCAAAGAACCACATTCTGCGTGAGTTTCCTCCTAGCTGCATTTGTTTGGGTCTGGAATCATGCTTGTTGTCGGAGCAAGCATGCATTTGCAACACCAAAGCATTGGTGAACAATATGCATGATATGCATGACATGCATGTGCAATATATATATATACCCCCAAAAAAACGACATGTCTGGATCATGTGCGGTCCATTTGGTCGCAACATAGGTCTAGACCATGCTAGTCTAGCCGCTAGCCCTGCACCACCATGTTCCCGAAAGGGACTCAACCCAAGGACATGTTCATCAGTGACTACAAGTGTCATTGGGGAGTCCCCATGTTTTCCATCACAACCAGTAACAGGGTGTTCCCCAACTCTCATCCATAAGAAGATAATTGTCTAACATGGAACATGAAACAAACCACATCTCATCCGAAACGTGCTCATCACATGTGCTCATCTACCTTCCACATCCTTCCACAACGCTTCACCACCGGACCACCGGGAGTTGTTCGCCCATCCGAGCGGCAAATAGGGAGGGCTCCACAGCACCCGGAGCTCCCGAGAAGCAGCCAAAAAGCCTCCGATGCCCTGAACGCCGCGGCGCATCAAATGCGAATCCTCCTGGTGGATGCAGGCGACGTCCACAAAGCACAGGGGAGACCGGTGACAGTTGAGGTGCAGGAGCACGGCGGAAAGCAAGAGTGGGAGGAAGATACCAAAGCAGAGAATCCAACATCCAAAAGGGCAAAGAGCTGTGAAGCCCACCAAGTTGGCTTCATAGATGAAGGGCATAGGCAGTATGCGAGTCACTGAGAGGACAAAAGCCACAGAAATGGCCAGTAGCCAGGAGACCAACAAAGTGGGCCAGGCAGTCTGAAGGTACAAGGCTGCTGCTTTTTGCCATCCTGGCGTCCACCAGGTGTGAGAAATGAAGATATCCAGCTTTTCCACTGGCTTGGATTTTGAATACAAGGCCATTCGTTGTTCCGTGGAGAACTTCTTGGGCGAGTATCGCCACAAATGACCCCCCGAGCTCAAGGTACTACTCAAGGAGATGCCCCGCATGATCTCCAAGTCTGGTGT